ACTCGGAGAGGCAAGGTAGTCCACACAGAAGGGATCTCACTCCCAGAGGGAACAATAGCAGACGTTGAGGACAGTTACAAGTATCTCGGTATACCACAGGCAAATGGCAACCTCGAACAGGTGACGAGGAAAGCGGCAACTGCCAAATACCTCCAGCGAGTAAGGCAGGTCCTAAGAAGCCGGCTCAATGGCAAGAACAAGGCCCGGGCAATTAACAGCTACGCCCTGCCAGTGATCAGATACCCTGCAGGAATAATCAGGTGGCCAAAGGAAGAGATTCAGACCACGGATGTTAAAACTCGAAAGCTCCTTACCATGCATGGCGGGTTCCATCCCAAATCCAGCACCCTGAGACTGTACGTAAGCCGTAAAGAAGGAGGCCGAGGACTAGTGAGTGTGAGAGCCACTGTCCAGGACGAAACATCCAAACTCCATAACTACATCATGGAGAAGGCCAAAACGGATGACGTACTCAGTGAATGTCTCAGGCAGTGGCGAGATGAGGAGGTGCTGGAGGAGAGCCCATCATGGGAGAACAAGCCCCTACACGGCATGTACCACCGGAGCATAACAGAAGTGGCTGATCTCAAGAAGTCCTACCAATGGCTAGAAAGGGCTGGCCTACAGGACAGCACAGAGGCACTCATCATGGCTGCACAGGAACAGGCACTGAGCACCAGAGCGATAGAGGCCCAGATATACCACACCAGACAAGACCCAAGGTGTCGGTTGTGCAAAGAGGCACCTGAGACGATCCAACACATAACTGCAGGGTGCAAGATGCTGGCAGGGAAGGCCTACATGGAACGCCATAACCAAGTGGCTGGCATAGTGTACAGAAACATCTGTGCAGAGTATGGGCTGGAAACCCCAAGGTCTAAGTGGGAAACTCCTCCAAAGGTGGTGGAGAATGAGCGTGCGAAGATCCTGTGGGACTTCCAGATACAGACCGACCGAATGGTAATGGCTAACCAACCTGACATCGTGGTGGTAGACAAAGGGCAGAGGACAGCCGTGGTGGTGGACGTGGCAATTCCAAGCGATGGTAACATCCGGAAAAAAGAACATGAAAAGCTTGAGAAATACCAAGGTCTCAGAGAGGAGCTGGAGAGGGCCTGGAGGGTAAAGGTGACAGTAGTGCCCGTGGTGATCGGTGCACTCGGGGCAGTGACCCCGAAGCTAGATGAGTGGTTACAGCGGATCCCCGGAACAACCTCGGACATCTCGGTCCAGAAATGTGCACTGCTAGGAACAGCAAAGATACTGCGCAGAACCCTCAAGCTCCCTGGCCTCTGGTAGAGGACCCGAGCTTAGAGAGGGATAACCGCCCGCGGAGGGCCAAAGGTGAGTGGACAATTTTTATTTTTACACATATATATATATATATATATATATATATATATATATATATATATATATATATATGTATATCCTGTACACCCACAGGAGGAGAGCCTTTTGACTACAAAACAGACCAGATTAACATGGTTTTCAATGGGAGCATAACGGAGTTGTCCCATCTCTGCTCATAAACTACAAACAGTAATGCGCTGCAGTGCGTGTGTCTATACTTTATGTCAAATGTAAACGGTGTAAACTTTGTCGCTAACTCACCCTGTGTTTTCATCATGACTCGGGCACATGTAAAAAGCACCAGCTCACAGCGCCGCACCGCAACACAGAGTCGGGGTGCGTTCACAGACGGTGGAAACCGTAGGAATATTTAGATTTCGGCGGAAAAAGTGCGAGAATACAGGAGGGAGGAACTTTCTCTCGTTGCGTTTCAAAAGAGAAAACAGATTCCAACGTTCATAGTGATGTCTGCCGTTCATGACACATAAAATGAACTCATTCACGTTCAAGTTCTTTTTTTGAAAATGTGTTGCGTTCAGTTCAACGTTCACAAAAAAAGGAGCGTGTTCAATGAACGCGTTCTTTTGAACTCGTTCACGCACAACACTGTTGATTAATTATTTCCTTGTGTTCCTTCTTTCTTTGGACATCCATTTTTATTCATTTATTTATTAATATAAATATACATTATACAAATAAATATGCCAGAATTAGCCTAAGGGCTATTTTCCATCTGTAGTCCCTGGACAGTTGTTATGTGTGCTCCTGAAGGGAATAAAATTACACACAACACAATCGGATAAAACATAACACGGTAAAATATTTACAAACAATACCCTCAATACCCTCAAATCAAACATATAGACATGAAAACACGACTGTTGCAAACTAAACAAGAATAAATACAAGTCAGTTATCTACAAATGCACATGTTTGTCTAGTAAACTCTGCTTGTTCTTGTCCGCTCTAATCTGCTCGTGGTCTTTGGAATGTTGTGATGTCACATGACCATAACATATTGCCTGTGGTTTTACAGCTATGGGTACTCAAGCTTTATTCCATAAAAATCTACAATTGTTCATCTTTCTTCAGTATTCAAACACATATCAAAAGATTCTATAACTTAACATGCATAAGTGTGAAAAAGCCCAACACAAATTTAAAGAAGCAGTATGTACAAATCTGGCCAAAAATGGTACTGCACTCTGCCTGACTCAGGTTGCCAGATATGCAGACGAATCCAGCTGGGACCATAATATCTGATTAAAGAGTTTTTCCTTGCCGATGCAGGAGGGTTGGACAGTTAGTGTCCAACTAGAAGGACTGTGGTGATGATCCAGGACACTTTAACATTCTACAACATGTACAACATTTTTCAACATGTGTTCTATATTCTTTCAGTGTTTTAACTGTTGATTCTCTGATCTGTGTTGGTGATGTCAATGGTTTTGTTCAGTCCTCTGAGATGACTTCTGTTGTGACCTAGGGCTATACAAGAATAAATTGTATTGTAATTGTATTGTAAAGATGGACATCCTTGTTTTATTCCTTGTTTTGTCTTTAATGATTTGAGCAAGTAATCTTAAGTAAGTCAGTCCTCTTTACTTACAGTATATATTGCCTTTATTTATATAATGCCTTTCACAAACCAGACTCACAAAGCGGTTTACAATGTGCGCATTTGGGAAATTTGTGCGCATGTGTGACAACGGTTGTCTTGTTGTCATGGCAACCATGAAAACACATGTTGTCATGGCAACCCAAAGTCTTTGACAACCAAAATTCTAGAATGAAGTCACAAAGTTCACATCATAGGCTGAACAGGCTGAGAAAACATATATCCACAGAGACACCGCGACCTCTTCCTACAACAGAATATTAGTTTACCACATTATAGACACAAAAGTAAATACAACACAGACAACATGCACCGTGAACACCCCAGTGAAGTTCACAAGACGGACCTGTCCCTCCTTTATGAACTGGTATGTCTGCACCAGCTGCAGCTGCAGTTCACTGAGATGAATAAAGAGGGCCCGAGCCATGCACAGACCTTTCACATACAGCTGGCAGTGGCGGACCTGGTGGGGTATGGTTCAGGTCCCACCAAACAAAAGGCCAAGCTAAGTGCAGCTAAGGTGGTGTTGCATCAGCTGAGGAAGCGTCCTTTGCCAGAGGACGTGACTCCCTATTGGTCCAAACCCCGTATGGAGCTGGTGGACCCCTCACAGCGGGTTTACTTCTTCTACAAGAAAGACCCCATTAGTGCCCTGTCAGAGATCCTGATGGTGAGGAAGCAGAGGCCAGCTGAGTACAAGGTGGTCGGCATCCAACACCGTGGCTACCATGCATCAGAGTTCTGCATGGAGGTCAGAGTGGACCAGAGGACATGTCAGGGACTGGGTCCAAACAAGAAGGCGGCCAAGCTCCAGGCAGCAGAGGCAATTTTGCACATGATGGGGTTCAAAGAGCAGATGGAGCTGGACAACCCTCAGCTGTCCCCATCTGAGGAGCTCCTCTTCCAGCAGAGGGTCTTCAAACTGCGAGAGACAGAGAAGCTCCAGGCCAGGCAGGCGTTTAAAGCTACCCTCACATCAGCTCAGAAAGACAAACATACATCCCAGAGTGAGAGTTCCCCACCGGCCCTCCAGGAGCCCATCCCGGAGAAACCCTTCTTAGAGGAGCCTGTCTCTGAGGAGCCAATCAAAGAAAAGACAATCATAGAGGAGACAATCAAAGAGATATATGTCGTTGAAGATCTTGTCCCCGAGGAACCAATCACAGAGGTGCATGTTCCTAAGGATCTTTTTCCTGAGGAGACAATCCAAGTGGAGACAATCTTACAGGAGACAATCCAAGTGGAGACAATCTTACAGGAGACAATCCCAGAGGAGACAATCCAAGTGGAGACAATCTTACAGGAGACAATCCAAGTGGAGACAATCTTACAGGAGACAATCCCAGAGGAGACAATCCCAGAGGAGACAATCCAAGTGGAGACAATCAGAGTGGCGACAATCCCAGAGGAGACCATCCCAGAGGGGACAATCCCAGAGGAGACAATCCAAGTGGAGAAAATCCCACAGGGGACAATCCCAGAGGAGACAATCCCAGAGGGGACAATCCAAGTGGAGACAATCAGAGAGAAGAAAATCCCAGAGGAGACCATCCCAGAGGAGACCATCCCAGAGGGGACAATCACAGAGGAGACAATCAGAGAGGAGACAATCCAAGTGGAGACAATCCCAGAAAAGATAATCCAAGTGGAGACAATCAGAGTGGAGACAATCCAAGTGGAGGCAATCAGAGTGGAGACAATCCAAGTGGAGACAATCAGAGAGGTTCCTGTCCTTGAGGATCTTTTCTCTGAGGATCTGGTTCAGACCTGTGATGTGGCCCCTGCTTCTCCTGAGCAGGACAGTCCAGTGGATCTTCCCTCGTCCTTGGACTCCATCTCTTCGTTAGACCTTGTGAGTCTGGTGCAGGACCATAACCCAACTGAGGTCATCCAAGTATCCTCTACTCCAGAACCCCAAAACCTCCAGGACTTTAGCACTTCTTCAGAAACTGTCAGTCCAATAGAGAGAGCCGTCCCTCCAGAGACACAGGACATCAGCTCCAATGCCGCTCACTTCATGGTCTCAACGATGATCCAACATTTCTTGAACAAATCCCCCGTGTTCCTAGACATTAGGGAACAAGGAAGAGTTATTTTGCAACTGCGTGAGGTGGAGCAAAGAGTCTCCATGCCCCAAGGAACAGACCTGAAGACCAAAGACCTCAAAGCCATAGCTAAGGAGACGGCTAGAAGTCTCCGGGAAGAGCTGGGACCCTTCACCTCACCCCTGCTCTGGAGTGAGTATTTCCTCAATGCAGCGGTGAGACATCTGAATTTCCAGCTGGAAGACTTCATTGACGAGGACAGAGGCCGACGACCAAGACGTTTCTTCTCCCGATTGTTTAAGATGTTCAGGATCAAGAAGAACAGAGTGTCGCCTGGTCCTCTGAGAGCATACATCAGATCAGCATACTAAAAGCACATCACTCCTGCCTGAGGGAACCTTCACTTACTGTAGGGAGGTCACAGAAAAAGGACTGGGTAACAAAAAAAAAACCATACAATTAAGACAACAACAAAAAACCTGGACATGAAAAATAACTAAATTTAATCAGGTTGGATTCAAGAAAATCAAACAGGGCAGGGAACAAGATTCAAAATTAATACAAAAAACAAACAACATGCAATGAAAAAAAATCATGAAAATTAACAAAAGAGGTAAATTGAAAAAACTTAAAATTTGAAAATGAAATTGGGAAAAACAAGGCCTATTTAAGTATCACATGGCATAATGTCATTTAAATGTCGTATGGTGTATTGTAAAAAAAATGGAGATTTTTTAAGATATGCCTTGAACTTTGAAGAACTGAAAAAAATTGGAATGAGGGGAAGGCATCTTAATGACTCAAAAATATATTCATCAATTGGGAAAAACAAGGCTCAAACAAAGCCATTTAGCATACCTTAAGAATGCTGATTTTTAAGATGTGCTTTTAGCTTTGTTGAACTGAAAATTATAATACATGGAATAGGGGGGGGGGGGGGGGGGGTGGGGGGGGGAATAAAACAATAACAATAAAAAATAAATAAATAAAAATGTGTCATGAGTTTCATCAAATGCACTTGGTAGCCACAGCTGACCACTGCTGAAAAATTAGTTAGGTTTGAGTGTTATTAAGGTTTCGTCTTTTTTCCTTATAATGGTGGGGGTCGCAAGCAACGTCATGTGAAGTTCCACCTCCCCTACTGGCCGGGCACTAGAACTACATTGTCTTCCGTCATTGTTTAGAAGCCGTTCACTTCGAAAAAGGAGCCTGGTCGTTTTTGATAATTACTTTGCAGCATCTCCGCAGTGCAGTGGCGGCTGGTGGAATTTTCTACTGGGGGGGCTATGAATATGATGACTAGATATATACCAGCAGGGTAGGGATGCTTTCTGATCCCTACCCTGTAGCTTTCATCCAGCTGGGATTAAATATTCATCTTCCCAAACATAGCTAATTTGAGGGTATTTTGCATGTGGATACCAGTCTGCTCATGCTTCTTTGCCTTTTCTAAAAAGTGCTTCAGATCAGTCATACCTGTCTTGATCCATGCTGGGTCAGATCCTGATGTTTGAAACAAGAGGCATGGAAAGCAAAATAAAGCATAAGCCTCGCTACATGCTGCTAGCCAAGATTTGGCGCTGAACCAGGTCCTGGACTGCTGACTAATGGTAATATTTGGCTGATCAGGTCCAAGCTCTTTAACCTCAACCTTCTCCTGGTATGATCTTCTCTCAAACGGTATTGTTTTGAGTGATCTAACTGAATTATTCTTTTTCTCGTTCTCCATTTTGCGTCTCTTTACGTTCGTCTCAAACTCCCACAGCTTGACCTGTCAATCACTGTAAACGGACGTCACAGACAGTGACAGTACAGGTCGCGGGCGATCCCGCCCCCTCAGGGCGCACTTCTCCTGCGCCCCCAAATCGTCTTATCTCTTGCATTGAAGAGGAGCTACTGCGCATGTACAACTTTTAACGAGAGTCCATAGACGGCTCAGGGCGCAATCTTTTGCGCCCTGAGGCGGAAATACGTCCTCAGTCCGACACAGACAACGCTGATGAGCTTAATCAATCCAACTCAGCATAAACTATAAAGTATTTCTTCCACATCTGAAATAAAACACACATACATTTCGAAATATTTTAATGTTATTATTTTTTTTAACGTTTTATTCAAGGTAACATGGCAAGTTGTGAGTGGTGGGGCGGCGCCCTAGCGCCCTCTATTGGCCGGCCGCCACTGCCGCAGTGTCTCCGTCTAAACTGGGCCTAATACAGGTAGGTCGTCAGCTGAGTCCAAATAGTTTTGTTCCAGCCACTGGGGCACTACTTTACTGGTTTTAGGTTCACTATAGTGCAGCTGATCATACTCTAAAAGTTTTCCATGAAATTTCCAGCAGTTAACTAGTCACAAATCAAAATCAAATCACAATTAAAGTTCACTCATTTGTGAGTGAACTTAAATACCCTTAAACAGTGATAAAACCAAAAATAATTAAAAATATAATCCTCATATGATAATATACCCTATTAAGATTGTATTAACAAGTTTCAAGTTAAACGTTCAAATGTACATGGAACATTTTCATGGAATAATCACGTTCAATATCACTTCATGTTCAATGAAAACAAAAAAAAATCGCATCAAATTCCTGCAGCATGGAAATATCAAAATATGGATATAGTCAGCTGCAAATATGGCTTTGCCCAAAAGAAAATCTAACAAAAGGTTTCTCAGTGGTTTACAATAGTATCAGATGTACTCAAAAACATATTAAAAGTTTACCAAAGTTTGACTCCAAAAAAGGCCCCATTTTCAAAATGGCGGCCATCGGGTCCTTAAAATGACCATTACTCCTTTGTATTTCTCTGTTTCGGTCATATAATATTCTAATTAGTTTATGTGCATGAAAAATAAGTGATTAAAAGTACAATTAAATATTAAAGCAATTGGTTATAAGCATATGTATGCGGAAAAGAAGAACAATTTCCCTTAACTTAACCTCTGGAAACACCTGATGCCACAGTGGGGCGGCTGTGGCTGTAAAGTGCCAAACTGCTGTTGTGTCCTTAGGCAAGACACTTTACCCCATTGCCTAGAACAGTGTCTCCCAAAGTGGGGTCCGCGGCCCCCTGGTGGGCCGCGAGGGTACTGCAGGGGGGCCGCGGGAGGTCATAAAAAAAAAATATATATATATATAATTATTTAACGTTAAATTTATAATGTTTTGTTTGTAATATTAAAATATTTGTGTTCATTATTTGACTTGAATAATCCACTGTAATCATTTTTGTATTACAATGTTTGTAGCAGAGGCAATTTTCCCCAAAATAAAATAACCAGAAGAGCCTATTCTTAATGTTGTCTTCTTGGTTATTATTTTGGGGGGCCACGCAGACCCGTCAGATTTTTAAGGGGGCCTCGGTGTTACTGAGTTTGGGAATGGCTGGCCTAGAATAAGTCTGGTGTGTGTGTGAATGGTTGGTGGTGGTCGGAGGGGCCGATGGCACATACTGGTGGCCTCGCTTCTATCAGTGTGCCCAAGGGCAGCTGTGGCTACAGTAGTAGTTTATCACCACCGCGTATGGAGTGAATGAACAATGACATGTGAAGCATCTTTGAGTGATCAAAAAAGCGCTATATAAAACCAATGTATTGTTGTTATTGTTATTATTGTTATTCTTTCACTCCATACGCAGTGGTGACACAGCTGCCCTGACCTGTAAGAATGAGCCCTGGGAGTCACTGTTGGATGTTTTGGGCTAAGACAGGTGATGGTGGTTCTCTCTTTTTCACTTTTCTGGCTGCTACAGTATGTGTTTCTTATGATTGTATTTTGGCTTTAAGGACTTTTGTTTCACCTCCAAACAGTACAGTACATAGATAAGGGCACGCCGGCTAGAACCAGGGCCAAGCGACACCTGGTACTGGTTAAAATGGGTCCCATGGTAGGGCCATTTCAGGCTGGTGGAAATGGGGCCTTTTGTTTTAACGCTAGGCTCCCGGAAGAATAAGCGACTGGAGATCAACATAATACCAAAGGAAACAGGAATTTTTATTCTTTTCAAAATATGCACCTCACCAGCGCTTACAGTATCTAGCCTGGCCTTAGCCATCCGTACACTCCGCTCAATCATCATTTCACTGCATGTAACGTCTGGGTCTGGTCCCTGTGTTAGCAATCACAATCAGTTGAATTTCGACCGACCAATCAGCGAGCGCGGGAGGCAGGAGTTGTCGTTAGTTGTGGGTGATGTCAAGAATTTTCGCCGAACGGGCAGGTTGTAGTTTGGCAATGGCGAAGAATGCGATATTAAAGTAATCCGGTCTGGTTCTATCAAGAAATTGAACCCTTAGCAAGAGGAATGTTTGGCAAAGGTAATTGCTGCAAAGATTGTGGCACTACTCCCCGTGGGCTCTGTTAGCGGCAAGGGAGACAGCTATGCTAAATGCTAAATGCTAACAAATCACTCGGGCGCATTACATACGTCACAGTAAACTCAGATCCAATCGTTTACCCCTCCCACCTGTTCACGGAGCTCAACGGAGAACCTCCAGACCTTAGTACAAAATGTAATTTGCAATATGGTGTGGTGCGACCAGGCTAGCGCTTCCCTATACTGGATCTTTATTTATTTACAAGCCAAGTAATGTTATTCTTTTGAAAAATGTGTTTTCTTATAGATAGTAAAAGTTGAATAACATTTTCTATCCAACTGGTCCTTTTGAAATGTTTACGGATGTGTGATGTCACTGCAGCTGTATGGTCTGAGGGTATTGTGATGGGACGAGTGTGAGGTGCAGCTGTAATCATGGGTCATAGTTCGGCCTCAGTCTCAGTCATGCGTTGTTGTTGTTGCCGTTTGTTTTCAGAGCGGAGCCGTGAGATGCGTGTCTTTGACTTCACATTGATTCTCGTATTGATTTTTCCTCCTCCGTCTTCTCCCTCTGCTTGACTTCAGACGCCGCCCAGATGCCACCGCTGCCCATGTGTCATCTGCAGTATTCTCACACAGAAACATAGGGACGGGACAAAATATCAACGAGACGAGACTGAATGGATCCACAATATAGGAAAGGATTTAGGAGGGAGAAGTGGTATTATAATTATTACAAGGGGAAACTGTGGCTCAGTTGGTAGAGCATTGGCCTTTGAAGCTGGAGGTCGTGGGTTCAAGCCCTCCACGAGACCTTATCCACCGTCTCCCACTGATATCTGCTGACATTGTGTGCTTGGGCACCCCACTTTGCCTGAATCCCCCGCTAAAAGGGCAAGGCTATGCCAAATAGTAGCCGTCCTTCTGTGGACTCAGCACCTACAGGAGGATCAGTGAGGGGCTGGTGCTCTATGAACTGGGAGGCATCTCAGGCCACCCCCCATGGATGGATGGAAATTCTATTATTTGGGGTAAATAATACAATGCTATGT